ATGAGAAAATGCAAGACAATCTGGAGTCTATAGAAAAGAAAAACTGGTTTTACTCATCACTCTACTGACTGTAGTAAACATCTTCAGTTTCATCTTCTTAAGCAAGCACACAATATTGCCAAAGTAGTTGCTCAAGTTTGATGCATAGAGATGTCTAGTCCCGATGTCCCACATTTCCCTTTAAAAAAATAAAAGCCCAGATAAACATCTGGAATGTCATTATATTATCACAGAAAAAAAATCACAAAATAAGTGTTCTGCACTAGCAAGACTATTATTATTACCAAAACATATTAATCTTCGAAACATAATTTTACATTATACCTGTAGGAGTGAATACAAGTCCTAGGGTCTGCATAATTCAGGAAGCTATCTTAGAAGATCAGAGATATGTGATCATAGATATGTTCACTTGAAAGGATCTCAAGGCATTTAATGAACTTTATCAGGTGACAGCTAACAGGTTTTTCTCCATTGCTTCTGAAACTTCAGTTTAGAAATGAAGATGCTGAAATGGAATGAAAAAAATAACTATCAAATTATCTTAGGAAAAATACATTCTCTGTATAATTCTGTATATAGTGTTTCTCTTTTCTTAAAGACACAGTATTTGATCATAAGATAGTGGTTGCTTTATGAAACTTGTATGTTTAGGGGCATTTTTTCAATTTGGAGTAGGAATTTATTTAGTATTAATTCATAAACAATTAAAATTTTAAAAATATTTAACAGATATGCCTCATTACTTATTTAAGTTGTCAACATCCTTACCTTTGGAAGTAAGGACTAGGGTGACATGTTTTCTAGAGGCTGGGAAACTTAAAGTTACTGCTTTACAATTTTCTACATTTTATTTGTATGCAATTTCAATATACTTACAAGGATGACATTTCTTTTAAGTTAAAAACTAGGCTAGAACTAGATGAAAAACTAATTAAGCATCTGGATGATCTTAAACTCTCAAGGTCTGCTGTGTAATAACTGTCAAGAAATGTGCTTTGCATTCTCTGAACACTTAAAAATTCAATAAATAGTTGGTATACAATAATATACGATAAAAACAAAGACCTGTGCATTATAACCACACATTAGGAGGTGAAATGTACCAAAGAGCCTTTAACAACTTTTATGACATCATCTAATAAATAGACTTTTTAAAAGAAAAGTCTAAATATTTTGTTTTCTAATTTTTTTTTCCACATTATGATTGATTGAAATCTGGAATTATTTTCTAACAATTATGTACCTAATGTAAACATGACATTAGGTTTTACTGTCTTTTTCCCTTTTGCAGGTTGTTCTCATGAACCTGTTGATATGCATGGTAGTTTTCTACACTGTGTACTATGTGGTCCTATCTGTGTGCTTCGCAGTATTCAAGTAAGATTTCCTTGTCTTTAGTCTAATACGACGGCATACTACAACCAGGATTTAATGTGTAGAGCTATGGCACTGTAGAGGAGGCATCCAGACTGGAGGCATCCAGTTCCAGTTATCCTATGAACACATTTTTCGAATTCAATTGAATTCCTGTGCCTGAACCTTCTTTTGCACAAATTGGCCAACAGAGACTGAAAACTAATATAAAATGTTGGTTCTAATCTACTTCCTTGCACTTGCACATGTAAATAAATGAACATAGAAGCAAAGATGATATTAAAAAAAGAAAAGAAAGATTTTGTAGTTGATAAAAAGACAAATTATATTCCTTTAGGAGGTTGATTAGCATGTATAGTGCCAGACATGTCTTAAATAAAAGTGGAGATCATGGATATTGTGTGCAAGGACAAGACCACTACACGCAATGGGGATGCAGAGATCTTGTAGAAACCCAGAGTATTCAGTTTGAAATCATATTTAAAAGTACCCATAATACGTTATATAATTACTAAGGCATTACTGAACATCTCTAGCTAAATTTATTCATTCTACTTCCACAGGATTAAAATGTTGGATGGTTTGGCACCTTTTGATTTTAAGACAAAGCCCTCATGGATTAACCCATATTATTTAGGTAACTAAAGTTTGTTTCTCTTATTTTTTTTTTCTCTGTCAAGAAAATAGATGGTACCTGGATGAAAACTTTTCCTTACGGACAGTATTTTAAAGCCGTTTTAGTAATACTAATGGTGTCTGTATTTTAATTACACTGCATTTAAATGCTTATTCATCTTGCTGGAACTTCTCATTTCTGTATTGCTACCTATCATTCAAGTGATTGTTAAGCGTTTCCTTGAGTTGTTCTTCTGATCTTGCATCACCTGAAGAAAGCGTGCTGCTTTGTCAGGATGCTTCATTTTCATTGCAGAACAATTTCCTATTCTCTGTAAAGTTCCTCCACAAAGTTGTTAAATTTAGTTTTCATATTGCAGCAAATTTCTTATGAATCGTTGGATCCAGATCTGAATAACAGGTCACATTCAACTAATGGAAATTTTGCTTTGGTAATGCCTGAATACAGTGGGCATTAAAATTTCAGGGTTTGATTGTAGCTCAATCTCTAAACATATCTTTATATATCCTAATATGCATTTTTGTCTGAAGCTCTCAAAATACATTCCTTTTCCTAGACTGTCATTCCTAAAGGATGACATGCATACATGAAATTTTACCAGATTTGTAATCTATTTTACAAAGGCAAACCACATCATCTGTCAGTAAAGTTAAGTAAAGCTCAAAAGTAAATTGGTTATTTCATTAGGCTAAAAAGAGTTACAAAAATGCATGGTTGTTTGTACAGTGTCAATACTGATTTCAGACACATAAAGAACATTTTAGTTGTAGCAGTGGAAAAGAAAATTAAATCATATTTCATTAGAATTACAGTTCAGGGCCCTAATGTAGTTACTGTATCTCAATATGATTTTTTCCCCAAAACTTTATCAGCCAGTTTGATGCAGCAAGTTTATATGCCAAAGACAGCAACTATGTCATGCAACTGGTTAGTATTCCACCCTCCTTTCTGTCCACCAAATGAAATAACATGGAATAGCAAAACATAACAGGATCTGTTTAAAGTCTACGGGCACAGAGACAGAACGAAGGTCTCTGACTGATATTGCAAATGAGAATTGGTTTACTCAAAAGTCTCACTCATGCCTGTTAAAAACAGAATTATGCCTTTAAAAGATAATCTCAAAAAATGGAAGTCAGCTCAAAATTGAGGTATCATTACTGGCCTAGTTTTGTAAAAAAAGTTTACAGAGCATCTGTTCACACTAAGCATACTTCCTAAATTATAAAATTATTGGCATAATTTAAAGGGATACTATCATCATGAAATATAATAAACCAAAAATACTAAAATGCATTGTCAAACATTAAATTTTTGAAGTGCTATTTTTCACTTTCCTAACTACATGTTGTTCTTTCAACTATCTTTTTCTTACTTTTTATGTTTTCTTAAACTGCTGGGTGAAAGATCCATAATACAGTAGGAACTAATTGACCCTATAAAGAAAAGAATAAAATTGAAAGGCACAAAATGCTGCCAAATGTATATGTTAACACAGTGAAAAAATAACGGTGGTCCCTGTTCTCAGCTACAGTAATCTTAGGTATTACGTTACTGCAACAGTAAAAAAAAAAAAAAGAATTCCATTAAAATGTGACTTTTATATGCTTGTGTACTTAAAAAGAACAATAAAATGCATTTGGATGGAAAACTGTATGAATTACAAATGCATGATTGTGGCCTGTTGTACAGGAACTCAGGACTACAGCTAGAAGAGGCATCATGCATTTTCCATTCAGCCCCCTGCTATCCCAGGTAGCCACCCACCATAAAATCAAACTTTGCCCTAAAAATGATTATTTTTGCTCCTGTTACCCGTAATAGCAAGTAAACAAGCTGACAGCTAAGCACCACTCCACTGCTGTGCCGAAGAATACAGCTCATCAAATGCCATGATGAGGTTCCTCATCCTTCCCAGCATAGTTGCTCAGCGTCTTCCAGTCTGGTTTCCTGCCCACGGGGGAGGCAGGGCTTGCCTGCCCGTTACTTTTGTAGAGCTGCACTCCATGTCAGGGGAGGTGGTCAGTGCAAGCTGGTGGCACAGCACGGCTCGGCATGCTCCAGAGAAAAGCACCAGGGGACAGAAATGCACCATTTTGTCACTGAGAGAAGGAATTTTCTTGATCAGATAACTTTAATAGGTTTTTTTTGACAGCATAATTTAGTTATTATCACTTTGCCAGTAGCTCCCATTCATGATTTAACACAACACAGAGCTAGCTGCTGAATGTCAGGCATGGTGACAGCATGGGAGCTGTGGCAGCCTTGCTATCAGCACTGAGAAAAGCCAGGCTCCTGGTGGTATGTTCCATGAGATCCATACGGATGGATGGCCTCTGCTCATTTTGTAGGCTCTCCACTCCATCTCCCCTTGTATGTCTTGTCTTTAAATTGTTCTGAGACAGATATATATATATATATATTCTGGTATCTATCATATATATCTAGGATGCAATGAAGTCGACAGGGAGAAAGCTATGAAGCTTCTTACCAAACATAACCCCTTAACCACACAATTCTTTTTTGGATGAGAAAAATTTCATCTTATCTGTCAGTATCAACCAAATCTATTTGACACCATATGCCATCCATGTGTGGATGGTCCCTGAGTAAAATTTCCACATCATTTCTCCTCTAGGCTATACAAACTGGTCATAATCCTGTCACTGGTCATAATCTTGTTAACCTTCATGTTTTTATGTAAAATATATAACATTTTAAAGTTGATAAGCAAGTCAGGATACAACTCATGCAGGTGTTTGTGGCAAAATCAGAATGAGCTCTATAATGAAAACATTAGCACAATACTTGATCTTTAAAAAAAAAATTACGTAACTGTGTTGGACATTTTAACTTCTTATTACCATCATTTTGGATATAAGAAAAAGCCTTTCAAAACTGTATTTGGTGTAAATATCCTATCTTATATTTACAGTTCTCGTTATATCACTGGAAGTAACTTTCTTCATTTGTGGTCTGCTGTTTGCCTTGGTTGTGGAAGAATGGGTTTGGGATTACGCTGTAACAGTTACTATTATTCATATCACCATAACTTCAGTCGGTAAGTAGGTTTACTGCTAAATATATGCATAGTATCGCAAATTGAAGGACCAATCAACTGTGATTCAGCTACTGTGTTACTGGACTAACTTAATTTTCCCTTAAAGCTAAATAAATAGATATCTTTTGCTTTCCATCCATTTGACTCATGCACGTATTTAAAACCTGCCATTTAAAAGTCAATTCTGGTTTTGTTGCAGAATTTTAAAACACTATTTTCTTATACAATAAGTCAGCGTTTTAGTTCATAATCTAACAGTTCATATCAAACAGATCCAACCTAGATACAATTTCAGCTTCTGTGAGGTGTGTTTTTCTCCAAGACAAGAAATTAATAGTTGTCCATGTCCTGACACTTTCAGATCTACTCATTAACACTTCAGCTCTAGTTCAGAGTAAAAATGAGGCTTGCTTCAGCAAAGCCAATTCGAAGTTCTTAAATTAGATCATTTGAACTAAATCCCATTGAGGAAAATAAAGCATTTTACCATCGAAGCATATTTTTTTTTCCTGAAACTCTTTCCAAAAAAGAAAAGGAAAAAAATTGGCTGTTGTAAATGAGACACATCATCACTTTTTGCCAGCACCTGGTAACCTGCTCCCTCTTCTCATGCTGTTTAGCAGAATGCTGCTATGGCTGATTAGGAAATATATTTTAACCCCATCCTTGCCAGAGCCCATTTGGTGATTCTTTTCTCCTATAACAACAAGCTTAGTATTTTTATTCTAGAATTTAGAAATAAGAAATGTATCACTGACAAATTAGGACTCCCTCCCTACTACATAATAATTCATCTTCCATTTTCTAACGCTTTGTCCATTTGTCTTTTAGCACTTTATACAGACAGGGATTCCCCAGTTCCCATGACAAGTTAAGCCAGAGGCCAACGGAGACCTAATTAAAAAAAAATTAAGTATAATTTCTCACCTACTGAATTTGATTTTCTGGAATTTAATCCACTGTTATTCCTTATGAATAACTTTTGTATTTAAACCAAGGAATTTACAAAAACTACAACAAAAACTGCTTTGTAGATAATTTATACAGGAAGGTATCTTCTATCATTATATCAGATGATGCATTTTGATGTCCAAACAACCCCAGACTTGTTATTGTCTCTTTCAGACGGCCAACGAAAGCACTGCTGGCTGACTTTGAGCTGGCAGCATATGCGGTGTGCCTCCCAGCTCTACCTCTACAGTCCTGACAGCTTATTTTTTTGGGTGGGGGCCAATACACAGTCATATAATGGCCCTGCAGTAGATCATACAGTGGGGATGTGGGTCAGCTTGTGTGAGGCAAAGGCAAGTGCCCGACAGAGGAGAGCACACGCTGTGCAGTAGTGCTAACTTGCCGTGCACAGCCCCAGCCAGTCTGTCATGCACTGCATCACCCATTAAACTGAACATTAAACTGAAAATGTCAGGCAGCTTAATTTATTTGGATTGCAGCAATGTGCAGGCACTCTACCAGGGGACTGGAGTCTCTGTTGTGTGTACAGGTAAGTAGTGAAAAAGGCATTTCTTTTGCAGAGAGACTAAGAGCTCCGTTTAGCACACACTTACTACGTTTGAGACTTGCCTTCCTGTGGGATCACTCACCACACTAAGCTTAATTGTCTGGCCAAGTATCTGAATGATCAGGACATAAATATGCATTTGCAATTTCAATGAGTGTGAAGTATATAATTTATGAAGCCTAACTAAGCAGACCTTTGATAACATAATGTAGTGTTTGTGTGTCCCCATTCTTGCTGTTTAAAAATGTACATTTCTTCTTTTCTTGCAGTTATGTCTGAATTCCCCCTGATGCTACATTGGTGGCTGGCATTAGGTATATCCCATTCTTTAAGGCTTAAATTGTTAGACTCTGTATAGAAAATTAGTATTTACAGTACGAATTGTTTCTATGAAATGTCTGTTGTCTCACTAATTTGAGAATTGTCAACATTTAAAGAAGGAATCAATGCTTTTCATTTATACTTCTTTTAATGACACGGGCAAGTAACGCTGACCCAACATTTGCCTTACCTTAAAAAATCTTCTGTTTTAAGACCAGAATGTACTCAGCTTATACTAAGCTTGCTAACAAACAGCAGATACAAGCAGGTTCTGGAAATTAATGATGATTAAGTCCTGACTAACCATAAGCTATCTCACTTAATTCAGGTGTCAAAAAGACAGGTGTCCAAACTAGTCTTCCTTGGCACCCTTCATAATCAATGGAAAGAAACAGGCACCTTCAGAAGCAATTTTTATAAACACCGTGCATAGGCATTTAAGATAGATGAGATAAATCCCAGTCATCACATTTCCTTAGAGTGAATGGCAAACCTATATTTCTGAATGTTTAATTTTCTGTAAAATTAAAAGCATAGCTTTGTACTAGAATACATTATCTTGAGAAACAGTTAAGTGAAAAGGACTGGCTTCTGTTCTTCTTTCTTATATGGTGGATAACAAGGACTGACAACTGCAGTAAATTTGTAAATGGTGGGGACAGGCAAATAAATTCCCTGTCCTGCAACTGGTTTTGCATCAGCAGCTGCTGTGGCTGATATCTTTGTAGGTGGTTAAAGCCTTCAGCAAAACGTTTAAGTAGACACACCATTTTTAAAAAATTGAAGATATAAAGAACGTCTGTTTAAAGTTTTATCGCAACATTTGTATTCCACTGTAAAAATTAATATAAAACAGCCATATATTTTCTTTCAGGATCTGGAGTAATTTCAATGATCTGTGGAGGACAGATTTTGGCTTACTACTTGTTCAAAGACAACTTCATTTACCCGATTCTGGATGATTTTTGAAAAGGAAAATTAGAATTTGCCTTTATATTTCTATGAATTATATGGTTTCATTAACAACATAATTAAAATGAAGGTAGCAACTATCTAGTTGTAAGGCTAATATTTAGCTTACCTCTTGTTTCCTACATTTGTTTGCAATACCAATGTAAGCACTTTTAGCTCTCTTATGTAATCACTTTTAGCTTTTTTATGTACGTTTTCCATTAAGCAAATAATTAGATACACTGTCTCTGTTTTAAAAACAAATAAACCATAAGGAGGATAAGAGCAATGGTGCAATGCTCTCACAAAATCCTACAAGAAAAGGAAAAACCAGATTTGAATTTAGTGTTTTCAGGGTGCCGGTTATCTATCGTATTTTATGAAACGCTGACTCTAATCTAGGCTGGAGTCTGAACTCTCACAAGTGCTGCAAAACTTTAAAGTCACCCTATCTGGCAAAAATCAGTGTAGGTTTAAAGCAGTGTTTACTAGCAAACCCCTGGCAAAGAAGAATCCATGAACCTAGATCTGCATCTCTTCCCATCTTAAACCTCTCGCCTAGAAGCTGCCCAAGACAACAGCAGGCAGACACACAGTCCTCGACGTTTGGTTGACCCCCTTGCTTACAGGGATGCTACAGACAAATGTTTTCTACAATAGCTTCAGGCTGTTGTCTCTTTGGCTAATGATCCATTTATGGTCTGGCTGTGCTGCAACAAGAAAAGGCAAATGTTACCGACAGCCACTTTTTTACATATCCTTTTTTCCTCTCCCCCAGCTGCAAGTGGCCAATGCCGAAGTGTGAGTTTATGGGTAGTGGTAATTTAAAACAACAAACAAACTACAGTAGTGGCTACAAGTAACTCTTTATCTCTTTAACCTTAATAAAGTTGTAACAGGAAAGCTGCTAGAAGGCAAGTTCATCTTAAATACGCTATCAGTGATTGAACTTGAACTGCAGTTTGCCTAGAAGAGCAAGACTGGATCGCTGTTTGCACAGGAGTGCTAAATGTTGCATTTGCCTTAATCTTACTCAACAGATAATGCTCTGAAGAATTTGTCCCCTGTTGATCTAATTAAACATCTTAAAACTTACTGCAAGTTTTACGATTTTCAATTGTTTCAATACTGAGAGTACATACACAGTGAGAAGCACATTTCAGGAGACTCCCAAAAGAATGAGTTTGTTGCTAATGAATGATAGATATGTAAGTCATTTTAGAGACAAACCAGATGTGTAAATCCATAGCGTTGAACAGATGTAGACTTTACAACTTGTTCAGCATAATATGCCATGTACTGAAGTCAGCAGAGATAATTCCAGAGAGTGAATTAACTGACCTGCACTGATCGCTGGTCTGAACCATGGACCATTTTTAGTTTCATGGATTTGTATCTTCAGAAACATTAGTGTGCAGATAACTGACTGGTATTATGTATTTGAAAAATGTTTGCACATTTCTTCCAGATTTGTTTCAGTTCAGAACTATAAAAACAGATGGGAAGGAAGTATCATCTAATGTAAGTTCATATCTCTGTGCTCGTCCTCACGCAGTTTGTGTGTGTAGGTAGTGCGCCATGTGGCAGAACAAGAGTGGATTAGATATAAAGTTAATCCACGGGTGGAACAAGTTTCTATTTTTAACCTGACAGGATTTTCCTCTATGCATGTCAGCCTGGCTGCAGCTTGTAGTAGCTCTGTTGCCCAGTCTTGACATTTTTAACTTTTGGTTTTTATTTAAAATTTAATATCATCAGCAAGAGATACCATCAGACTAAAATGAAGAGTGCTTTAGTCCCAGGCTTTCTCCAAAGCACGTACAACTAGGTCAGTGCTAGAAAAACAATCACAGCAAGAACTCTATCGAGGATTAAAAGCCTTAGTCCAGCTATTAAACAGTCATTAGTTTTGCATTACTTTCAGATATGGAATGGTGTGACAATGTCAACATTATTTATTTCATGTTTTCGATCACTTGTATGTTGAGAACCAATGATAAATATCACCCATATGTTTAAAGTGTAGACAAAGCTCATATTATAAAAATAAATATTAATCATGTAAGAAAAATGAGCTGTATCTGTGTGAGCATTACCTGGTTAGAAACCTTCAGAGATAATATCTAATACTGTGTGATTTCTACCTGATACACTGAAACAGTACTTTCGAATACGACAAACCTGTCTGTTTCTGGAACAATAATAAAGTGACCCACTTGAGCAATTTGCAAATGACTAATTGGTAACAGTTGAGACACAGGTGGAAAGAACAGCTGCTGGAGGAAAAGGAGGGCGTTGTATATGTTGCAAAACAGACCTGCCAAAGACTACAAGAAAAGACCGCTTCAGAAAGCAGAAGGAAAACAGAGAAAACAGCAACAGGGACATGTGTTTGGAAAAAATGCACAATGAAAGCAAGAAACGAGAAGACAGAAATGGACAAAATCAGTAAGAGAAGAAAAAACCTGCAGACTGAACTTGAAGCACTGCAGTCTCATGACATGAAACTTGTATGCCACTTGTATGCCGCAATCTGTTTTTCTGCTGATGTATACATGACTCTAGGAAAGATGGTCTCCACATTCATAGTTATGAATATAATCAGTAATGTTATGGCTGTGGCTCCTGCCCCAGGATTTTCAGAATTCTTTGCTCTCTGACTCAGCCAGGAACAGGAATACTGTCTAATTTAGTTGGTGTGGGCTTGGTGTTAGATCATTTAACCCCCTGTGGTACAGTCTAGTAGTCGTGAGTTTGCATGGTATCAGTGGGGGTGTAGACAGTCTAGAAAACATTACAAGCAGATGGAGACTTCATCCACTTTGAGGAAGAGTTTGCAGGGAAGAAGGTTAAAAGTTACAAACATTAGGTACAGAAATCAATGGAACAGTACACATACGGCGTACCTTAATAATATCATACTTAGAGTCTTTTTAAGATTTTTTTTTCAGAGGCAAGAAACTCCTTTTCATCATAGCCAACCACCTACTGAGAGACACTATAGTTCCTCAATTCAGCCCTCTCTCTAAACGACTCTGCATTCATTCTTGTTCCAAATGGTGAAATGTCTTACTTGTAATAAAGAAGGTGAGTGAAATCCATTGTTTTGGAGACCCTAAGTGTATATTCCTAGGCTAACAGCACTGCCTTCAATGTCAAACTGTAAAGCAATCAAAAAAAACTGTTCTGGGACCAATAAACTAACTCAAATGTGTTAAAACAGCCAAATACCAAACTATGGAGTACAGACAATGTAATGATTTTTAGTTGGCATTTTCGTAAAAATATAGGATTAAATACTTATAATTTCCAAGTGAAGCAAAGAGTTGGTTATTCAAACTAAGCTTGTCATTTTTCTGTGTCTGTAAATTGCTTGATCAGCATTTCTATCTCTTTTGTATTCAAACTTAAAAAAGCAAGCAAAACAAAACAAAATGCAGCACTCATTATTTCTCTGTTCCTAAAAATACCAACAACTGCTGCACCAATAAATACAGAAAACACAGTATGAATAATACTAGATCACCAGCAATGGGTAGATGAGTCACCTGACTGCAGTCTCCTACGTTAGATATTCATGCACAGGATTCCTGTGGCCCATAGTCTCTTGACTAGAAAACCCCATCGTGACCAAGTGAGCTTCGTTAAATTGAGAAAAGACATGAAAGCCTTACACATTCTTCATTCCAGCATCTGGTATGTACGTTGTCACACCATAAACTTAGATCCTTTTAATCTCCACAGGTATTTAAAGCTTTATTTAAATATTTTGTATCTTCCAAATGTGACTTACTTAGAATATTTATTTCTTGGCTTAAGATCCTGTGTAACGATCCATCTGCTCAGTAATGGCTAATACTCTAATCTCTCCTTTTTGTGAGCTAATCACAGCCCCAGACAGCATGTATTCTCTCATTAGATGTCAGAGAGGATAAAGGTCTTAGGGATGGTTATAAAATTTGATGGTGTAATTAATACCTCTATTATTGGCTTCAAACCTTTTAGTGCGAGGCTATGATTTTAAGATGCAGACCTCCTCAGCCTCTCCTCTGCTCAGGAAAAATGATACGGATCCCTTTAGAGTTCCCCTTCAGACGCACCAGGATAATTATGCCTATGTTGTAGGGCAGGCATGCTCTGTGATGGACTACCATCCTACTCCGTCTACTCTCCAGTTCAGCGGACCAAAGGAATACTTTGCAGTCATCTCCCAGTTCATACACTCAGGTTTCCTTTGCCCACAAGGGTGGAAGAGGGAAAGTTGCGTGCTTGGGGTGTCATCCTGACACGTAGTTGTAGCATGGCATTGGCTTGGACTAGGGGCTTGGGAAGTGACACTAGGACACCAACTATGGACAACCAAAATCTGAGGAAAAGCCTTGGCCTCCATCTTTTAAAGTTGCCTACCTGTAAAAAATTTACAGTCTCTTGCAGTCAGTGTCCTAAATCAAAGGTAGTCACAGCCTGGCCATTACTGTTCCATATTTTTGAATGATAATAAATCCTAATATGAGATTATTTGTTGTGGATTTGCAAAGCGGTTTGCAAACAAAGAGTCCACTCCTGCTTCCAACAGCAAAGATCCCGTTATCTCCCTTGGAACAATACTCTATCAAAGGACCGCTTATATGTACCCAGACCCTCTCTCAGAGACATCTTGTCACCAGATTTTCAGCATCCAAAGGAGAAGAGTTTAAATAAAACATGAGTGATGGTAAAATGCTCAAATACATTAAGATGCTCAAATACAGTAAGAATTACCCATTTCCTAGCAGTCTTCAGACACCTTTGCATTGAAATTACATCTACATCAGTAGCTTTCAAAATACACTGAAAAAGTGTTTTGATTCACTTCATAAACCCTGATAGGGGTCCACACAAAGATGTACCATTAAAAATTACAAAAAAGATCTGATATGGTATTCACTGAAAAAAAAATGTAGATATTAGCCAAATTACATGAGCAAATTCAACAGCAAATTACATTTACATGAATTTGAGTTTAGTATTTAAAATTA